TTTTAAATAATAATACATGAAAAAAACTGGGCTTCAAATAGCTATGGCATGTGTCATTGTTAGAGTTATACAGTTATAATGCAAAGAAATGAGTGTGGGCTGAGACATGGAGCTTTGCTAATCCCTTCTAAAATACAGGAGATACATTGAGAAACGTCAAATCAATGCTGGATAAACTTCATTCCATCTGTAGAGTTGGAAACTCCTTCTTAATCTTAATTTTACGCTTTGACAGTGGTATGATATGTTAAAATATAATATCAAGATGTATTGTATCACCCACAAAGGTACGGTTATGTCAAACAGATTTGCATTGAAGTTTACAACTGAAAACATTTGAATAATACTTCCCAAAATAATTTACAAAGAACATTAATGTTTTCCATTACCCTAGCATTCCTAGTTAAATAAAAAACCAATACCATATTCTTATTATGGGAATAAGAACATTTCAATAAACGGTCATAATGCCCTGGTTTTATGACATCAAATGCACTTTAGTTAAATAATGATACTTCTTTTCAGTTTAGATAAGACTGTATTCATTGATTTAATTTTAAACTAGTAACTATTAAGGTATAGCAGGACGTTTTTGATTCAGGGAAAGAAAAGAAAATATATAAGACTGAAATAGCAATGGTTTGGTTGTGACCTTTTCCATAAAATCAAATCAATTACAAAACTAAAAAAATGATCAGAAAAACATCCTACTCCTAAATCACCTTTGCACAAAAACTCTTGAAATCACTTCTTGTCATTGCAAACATCTGTCTTATAAATACATACAATATTTTATCATATAAACAGATTCTGAAAGAAGGAGGATTTCCAGCAGGAACTGGGTCTGTCTCAAAAATAATTCATGCCAGATCATTACTACACACTGCACTACCACAGAAACTACCTGTGCCTACAGGTAATTTTTTTTGCCGTTTTTGTTAAAGTGCTATAATTATGGACACCAACTGGTGTAAAATTAAGTAAATTACTTTCATTCACAATCAAAACTAAAAGAAAACCATTATGTCCAATGAAAAAAAAACAACATAACAATAAACTCACTGCCAGCAGTGAAAGCACGGATTGTTTTT